CAACCCAACCCTCAACTCAACCTTCAACTCAACCCCCAACCCAACCCTCAACCCTCAACCCTCAACCCTCAACCCAACCCTCATCTCAACCCTCAACTCAACCCTCAACCCAACCCTCATCTCAACCCTCAACCCAACCCTCAACTCAACCCTCAACTCAACCCTCAACTCAACCCTCAACTCAATCTCCAACCCAATCCTCAACTCAACTCTCAACCCAACTCTCAACTCAACCTTCAACTCAACCCCCAACCCACCCCCTCAACCCAACCCTCAACCCTCAACTCAACCCTCAATCCAACCCTCAACTCAACCCCCAACCCAACACCCAACACCCACCCCCCAACCCAACCCAACCCCTTCTCCCCACCAACCTCCCCCCGACCCCGCCACCCCTCCCGCGGCGCCGCCGTGCCCCAGCCCCACCTCTTGCCCAGGGTGACCCCGGCCAGCTTGATGAGGTCCCTCATGCAGGGGGTGATGAGCACGGGGGGCTCGTCGCTGTCCCCGGCCTCGTCGTAGCTCTCCACCTGCTCCACCACGAACTGGGCGTGGCGCAGCAGCGAGTCCTCCGTGAACCGGTTGAAGTTGAGCCCCGCGGGGGGCACGGTGGTCTGTGGGGTCGGGGGAGGGCTCAGGGAAGGGCTGGTTGACCCCTCCCACCTCCCCCAGCCGCCCGCTCCCGGGATCGGCGAGTTGGGAAAGGTCCCCGAGGTCGGCGGGTCCCGACCGTGGCCTTCTGGGACATCTCCAGGGGTGGTGACCCCACCGCCTCCCCGGGCAGCTCATCCCAGTGTCCAACAGCCCTTCCCACGGAAAAATCCCTCCTGGTGTCCACCTGACCCTCCCCTTGGGGCACAGCTTGGAATCACGGGATCGGTGAGGGGGGAAAAGCCCCTTTTCCGTCTCCAGCCCCTTTTCCATGTTCTCCAGCCCCTTTTCCATGTTCTCCAGCCCCTTTTCCATGTTCTCCAGCCCCTTTTCCATGTTCTCCAGCCCCTTTTCCATGTTCTCCAGCCCCTTTTCCATGTTCTCCAGCCCCTTCTCCTGCTCTCCAGACCCTCCTCCTGCTCTCCAGACCCTCCTCCTGTTCTCCAGCCCCTTCTCCTGCTCTCCAGACCCTTCTCCTGCTCTCCAGACCCTCCTCCTGCTCTCCAGACCCTCCTCCTGCTCTCCAGCCCCTTCTCCTGCTCTCCAGCCCCTTCTCCTGCTCTCCAGCCCCAACTGGGCTCCCTCCTCCTGCTCTCCAGCCCCTTCTCCCTGTTCTGCAACCCTTTTTCCATGTTCTGCAACCCTTTTTCCATGTTCTGCAACCCTTTTTCCATGTTCTGCAACCCTTTTTCCATGTTCTCCAGCCCCTCTCCCGTGTTCTCCAGCCCTTTCCTCGGCTCCGTTCCTGCCTCTGGACGCGCTTGAGCCCCTCAATGTCTGGCCCTGGGGACCCCCCTGGGGACATCCTTGGGGACTGATCCAGACACTGACCCCAACACTGACCCTGGGGACCCCCCTGGGGTCACTGACCCCAACAATGACCCCAACACTGACCCCAACACTGGCCCTGGGGACCCCCCTGGGGACCCCCCTGGGGACACTGACCCCAACACTGACCCCCCAGTGGCCCCGGTGACCCCCCTGGGGACCCCCCTGGGTTACTGACCCCACCACTGACCCCCTGGTGCCCCTGCTGGGGACCCCCCTGTCGACACTGACCCCACCACTGACCCCCCCAGTGGCCCTGTTGACCCTGCTGGTGACCCCCCTGGGGACACTGACCCCAACACTGACCCCAACACTGACCCCACCAGTGGCCCCAGTGACCCTGCTGGGGACCCCCCTGGGGTCACTGACCCCCCCAGTGCCCCCCCGGTGCCCCCACCTCGATCTTGTTGAGCAGGTCCTCGTAGCTGACGTCGGGGTTGTTCTGCAGGAACTCCACCACGATCTTGCTCATGTAGATCTTCTCCTGCATGAGGGCGAAGGTGGGCGCGTACTCCTCGCTCGGCTCCATCAGGATGTAATCCGCGAAGGCTGGGGGGGATTCCGGGGGGAAAAACCGGGAATTCCGTCAAAAAATCCACCCCAGGGTCGGAGGGGGAGCTGCGGCTCAAGGGGGGTCTGGGCCACAGAGCCAAGGGGGGAGAGAAGGTCCCTCGGGGGAGACCCCGACGGGACGGGGGGGGAACGTGGGGGAGGGAGAAATAGGGGGGAAGGGGGAAAAGGGGGAGGAAAGGGGAGAAAGGGAGGAGGGAAAGAGGAGAAAAGAAGAAAAATAGGCCGAAAAATGGCCAAAAAAAGGCCAAAAAGTAGCCCAAAGGGGAGGGAAAAGTAGGTGGGAAAGGGAGAAAAGGGGGAGGAAAGGGGGAGGAAAGAGGAGAAAGGGAGGAGGGAAAGAGGAGAGAAGAAGAAAAATAGGTCAAAAAATGGCCAAAAAAAGAGGCCAAAAAATGGCCAAAAAAAGGCCAAAAAGTAGCCCAAAGGGGAGGGAAAAATAGGTGGGAAAGGGGGAAAAGGGGGGAAAAGAGTGAGAAAAGAGGAGAAAGAAAAGAGAGAAAGAGGAGAAAAGAAGAAAAAAAGAGGCCAAAAAATGGCCAAAAAAAGGCCAAAAAGTAGCCCAAAGGGGAGGGAAAAATAAGTGGGAAAGGGGGAAAAATAGGTGGGAAAGGGAGAAAAGGGGGAGGAAAGAGTGAGAAAAGAGGAGAAAGAAAAGAGAGAAAGAGGAGAAAAGAAGAAAAAAGAGGCCAAAAAATGGCCAAAAAAAGAGGCCAAAAAATGGCCAAAAAAAGGCCAAAAAGTAGCCCAAAGGGGAGGGAAAAATAAGTGGGAAAGGGGGAAAAATAGGTGGGAAAGGGAGAAAAGGGGGAGGAAAGAGTGAGAAAAGAGGAGAAAGAGAAGAGAGAAAGAGGAGAAAAGAAGAAAAAAGAGGCCAAAAAATGGCCAAAAAAAGAGGCCAAAAAATGGCCAAAAAAAGGCCAAAAAGTAGCCCAAAGGGGAGGGAAAAATAAGTGGGAAAGGGGGAAAAATAGGTGGGAAAGGGGGAAAAGGGGAAGGAAAGAGTGAGAAAAGAGGAGAAAGAGAAGAGAGAAAGAGGAGAAAAGAAGAAAAAAGAGGCCAAAAAATGGCCAAAAAAAGAGGCCAAAAAGTAGCCCAAAGGGGAGGGAAAAATAGGTGGGAAAGGGGGAAAAGGGGGAGGAAACAGGGAGAAAGAGAAGAGAGAAAGAGGAGAAAAGAAGAAAGAAGAGGCCAAAAAAAGGCCAAAAAAGGAAGCCAAAAAATGGCCAAAAAGAAGCCCAAAGGGGAGGGAAAAATAGGTGGGAAAGGGAGAAAAGAGGGAGGAAAGAGGGAGAAAGAGAGGAGAGAAAGAGGAGAAAAGAAGAAAGAAGTGGTCAAAAAATGGCCAAAAAATGGCCAAAAAATAGGCCAAAAAATGGCCAAAAAATGGCCAAAAAAAAGGCCAAAAAGTAGCCCAAGACAGGTAAAAAAATAGGCCAAAAAAGGCCAAAAAAAGGCCAAAAAACCCCCCCAGAAAAGACCAAACCCCCCCCCAGGAAGGCCCGGCGAGGCCTCACCTGTGCTGAAGCCGATCAGCGCCTTCTCGCCGCCGTCGAAGCCCGTGATCCACCAGGCGTTGATGGGCCCCAACTTCTTGGCTCTCACCCCTCCTGGAAAGCCCAGAGACCCCCCAGTTCCAGCTCCTGGGGGGCCAAACCCCCCGGAGAGCAGCCCCAGGGACCCCCAGGCCCTCACCGTCCAGGCAGGGGTTGTCGTCGTAGATGGGCTTGACGGCGCCGCTGAAGTAGAGCTCGACGTTCCTCTCGATGAGCCCCGTGTCGAAGGGGCACAGGTGGCCCTGGCGGTCGTAGACGCTGCCGGGGGAGAGAAAAACCAGAGCAGGGGGGGGGGGAGGTAAGGGCGTTGAAAATAATCCCCTGGTGCCACGACCCTGTCTCGTGTAAATGTGTGTTGTGGGCAAACGCACCCTGCCAACGTAACAACACCAAGAGCAATAAATGAGTGGAAAATATTGCCTGCATTTGATTTATCAGACCACAAAAGTATCTCTGAATCCACAGGTCAGTGTAACCCGTTTCCACGCTTCACAGTTTCTAAACTCTCTCGGGGGTTTTCTTATATTAATGACCCCAAGGGGTGAATTTTGCCTGTGGGATCCCCGAGTTGTTCACCCAGTGCTGTCACTACAAACGGCCATTCCACGACAGAAGAGCTGCTTTGGGCCAAAGTACAGGTTCTTTGCCCTAAAAAAGCAACGGGATGTATGTAAATTCACGCAAGATTGGTTTTGCTGAAGAGCTGTGGTTTTAACACTGCAGTGCAAATGCTTATTTATGCATTTTTAGAGGCTGAAATCCTGCTCTGAGAAGAGGTTCACAGACACTGAGGGATTTGCTGTGTTTGGGTTGTAAGGAGACACAGAAAATGTGTGTTGTGAGGTTGATTAAGGGAAAGAATCAGGCCTTGTTTGTCCTTGGGGGGCTCTGTCCTGGTGAAATGCAACAGAAAGGTTGTAAATTGGACAGGATGGACGTTTGGGGAGGGGGGTGAAGGGCTGAGTAAAAGGGGGTTTTGGTGAGACTTTCAGGAAAAGCTGAAAAGTTCACGAAGAGGAAGGACAAGAGAATGACCCCCAAAAGGATGACTCTGCCTCCAGCTCCACCTGAACCCCCCTGATGTGAATATTATAACTAATTGTAATAAATATTCACATAGAATACTGCACTCCCTCACCAAAATTGCCTAAATCACCTGACTCTTCACTGAGAACTCGGGGGCTGCTTTGGCACCCCAACGTGGCCCCAAATAAACACCTTTGCTGCTGCTCAGAGGCCCCAAAACTGTCTCTGAGCAGCCCCTTGACACCGGTTTTGGAGCTCACCTGAAGGAGGTGATGGGGCAGAGCTCACCTGAAGGAGGTGCTGGGGCAGAGCTCACCTGAAGGAGGGGCAGAGCTCACCTGAAGGAGGTGATGGGGCAGAGCTCACCTGAAGGAGGGGTAGAGCTCACCTGAAGGAGGGGCAGAGCTCACCTGAAGGAGGTGTGACCCTGTGCTGGGGCAGAGCTCACCTGAAGGAGGGGCAGAGCTCACCTGAAGGAGGTGACCTTGTGCTGGGGCAGAGCTCACCTGAAGGAGGGGCAGAGCTCACCTGAAGGAGGTGTGACCCTGTGCTGGGGCAGAGCTCACCTGAAGGAGGGGTAGAGCTCACCTGAAGGAGGTGCTGGGGCAGAGCTCACCTGAAGGAGGTGATGGGGCAGAGCTCACCTGAAGGAGGGGCAGAGCTCACCTGAAGGAGGGTTGTCAGTGTGACCCTGTGCTGGGGGCAGAGCTCACCTGAAGGAGGTGATGGGGCAGAGCTCACCTGAAGGAGGGGCAGAGCTCACCTGAAGGAGGTGACCTTGTGCTGGGGCAGAGCTCACCTGAAGGAGGTGACCTTGTGCTGGGGCAGAGCTCACCTGAAGGAGGTGCTGGGGCAGAGCTCACCTGAAGGAGGGGCAGAGCTCACCTGAAGGAGGGGCAGAGCTCACCTGAAGGAGGTGATGGGGCAGAGCTCACCTGAAGGAGGGGACCCTGTGCTGGGGCAGAGCTCACCTGAAGGAGGGGCAGAGCTCACCTGAAGGAGGGGCAGAGCTCACCTGAAGGAGGTGACCTTGTGCTGGGGCAGAGCTCACCTGAAGGAGGTGACCTTGTGCTGGGGCAGAGCTCACCTGAAGGAGGTGTTAGTGCTCACCTGAAGGAGGTGCTGGGGAGAGCTCACCGAAGGAGGTGATGGGGCAGAGCTCCCTGACGGAGGGGCCAGAAGCTCACCTGAAGGAGGGGAGAGCTCACCTGAAGGGAGTGTGATGGGGCGAGACTCACCTGAGGAGGGGCATAGCTCACCTGCAGAGGTGTTTGTGTGACCCTGGCTGGGGCTAGAGCTCACCTGAAGGAGGTGCTGGGGCAGAGCACCTGACGGAGTGTGCTGGGCACGAGCTTCACATGAAGGAGGGCAGAGCTCACCTGACGGAAGGGGATGGGGCAGAGCTCACGAAGGAGGGGCAAGCTCCCCTTGAAGGAGGGGCCAGAGCTCACCTGGAAGGGAGGTGTGACCCTGTGTCTGGGCAGAGCTCACATGAAGGAGGTGAGGGGCCGAGCCCCTGACAGGAGGGGCCGCGCTCACCTGAAGGAGGGGCAGAGCTCACCTGAAGGAGGTGTGACCCTGTGCTGGGGCAGAGCTCACCTGAAGGAGGTGATGGGGCAGAGCTCACCTGAAGGAGGGGCAGAGCTCACCTGAAGGAGGGGCAGAGCTCACCTGAAGGAGGTGACCTTGTGCTGGGGCAGAGCTCACCTGAAGGAGGTGACCTTGTGCTGGGGCAGGTCCTCGTAGCTCTCAAACCCGTCCTCGTTGGCGTCGAACAGCGACAGGCGCTCGTCCGTCAGCATCTCCGGCTCCTCCAGCTGGGGGGGAAACAGGGACTGGGATCCCACAGGGATTGGGATCTCACAGGGATTGGGATCTCACAGGGACTGGGATCCCACAGGGATTGGGATCTCACAGGGATTGGGATCCCACAGGGATTGGGATCCCACAGGGATTGGGATCTCACAGGGATTGGGATCCCACAGGGATTGGGATCCCACAGGGATTGGGATCTCACAGGGATTGGGATCCCACAGGGATTGGGATCTCACAGGGATTGGGATCCCACAGGGATTGGGATCTCACAGGGATTGGGATCTCACAGGGATTGGGATCTTGGGGGGACAAACAGGGATTGGGATCTCGGGGGGACAAACAGGGACCGGGATCCCACAGGGATTGGGATCTCGGGGGGACAAACAGGGATTGGGATCCCACAGGGATTGGGATCTTGGGGGGACAAACAGGGATTGGGATCCCACAGGGATTGGGATCTTGGGGGGACAAACAGGGATTGGGATCCCACAGGGATTGGGATCTTGGGGGGACAAACAGGGATTGGGATCCCACAGGGATTGGGATCTTGGGGGGGACCAAAAGGGCTTGGGACCCACAGGGATGGGATTCTTGGGGGGGCACAAACCCGGGATGGGATCCACGGGATTGGGATCTCGGGGGGACAAACAGGGATTGGGATCCCACAGGGATTGGGATCTCGGGGGGACAAACAGGGATTGGGATCTTGGGGGGACAAACAGGGATTGGGATCCCACAGGGATTGGGATCTCAGGGGGACAAACAGGGATTGGGATCTCGGGGGGACAAACAGGGATTGGGATCTCAGGGGGACAAACAGGGATCGGGATCCTTACGGCGTCGTCGGGATCCCCTTGGAAGAACTTGAGGTCGGGGTCGTCGAGGTACTGCCGGCACTCCACGCACTTGGGAGGGGTGGTCTGAGGGAGAGGGGCCCCGTCATTCCGGGAATTATCCCGGGGTTTGGCGGGATCTCCCTGGTTTCACACCGGGAACGGCCCCGGCTGCTCCCCCCGCCCCGTCCTGGGAGGGTCCATGAGCTGGGAATGGCTTTGTTTGCCCCCCTGGGACAGTCCATGCACCCCCTTGGGAGGAGTGAACTCATCCCAAAGCTTGGGAACGTGGAATTTTAGGAGTTCTAAGGGGTGGAAACCCCCCAAAAAAAGGTTGGGATGGAGGAAGAGGGCACAGGACAATCCATGGACCCCCTTGGGAGGAGTGAACTCATCCCAAAGCTTTGGAACGTGGAATTTTAGGAGTTCTAAGGTGTGGAAAACCCCCAAAAAAAGGCTGGGATGGAGGAAGAGGGCACAGGACAATCCATCCACCCCCTTGGGAGGAGTGAACTCATCCCAAAGCTTTGGAATGTGGAATTTTAGGAGGTTTAAGGGATGGAAACCCCCCCCAAAAAAAGGCTGGGATGGAGGGAGAGGGCACAGGACAATCCATGCACCCCCTTGGGAAGAGTGAACTCATCCCAAAGATTTGGAACATGAAATTTTAGGAGTTCTAAGGGGTGGAAACCCCCCAAAAAAAGGCTGGGATGGAGGAAGAGGGCACAGGACAATCCATGCACCACCTTGGGAGGAGTGAACTCATCCCAAAGATTTGGAACATGGAATTTTAGGAGTTCTAAGGGATGGAAAACCCCCCCCAAAAAAAGGCTGGGATGGAGGAAAAGGGCACAGGACAATCCATGCACCACCTTGGGAGGAGTGAACTCATCCCAAAGATTTGGAACATGGAATTTTAGGAGTTCTAAGGGGTGGAAAACCCCCCCCAAAAAAAGGCTGGGATGGAGGGAGAGGGCACAGGACAATCCATGCACCACCTTGGGAAGAGTGAACTCATCCCAAAGCTTTGGAACGTGGAATTTTAGGAGTTGTAAGGGGTGGAAAATCCCCCAAAAAAGGCTGGGATGGAGGGAGAGGGACTCACTTTAGCAGGGGTGGTTATTTTGACCTGAGGGATTTCGTCTCTGAGCTCCGACCTGGGGGGGGAGAAACGGGATGAAGATGGAAAAGCTCCAGGTCCTCAGCGAGGCTCCAGCCTGGAACCTTCTCCTTCCCCCTTACCCGTCTCTGGCTTCCATTTTAATCCTCTTCTCATCTTGCTCCTTGAGGAAGGGACAGAAAAAAGCGGGAAGGGGGGGGTGGAGAGCACGGAAAAGTCCCGGGAAACCCGATCCCAGCCCCCGGGAGAGGAGAGCCCGGGAGAGCCCCCGGGACGGCCGGACCCACCTTGTCCTCCAGCTCCTCTTCCTCCCGCTCCACGCTCATCATCACCTCCAGCTTCGCCTCCCCGTTCACCTCCTCCGACTTCCTCTTGGTGGATCTGCCGGAATCGGGACCCCACGGATCAATCCCGGGGCCGGGGGGGCACCGGGGGGGCACCGGGGGGGCACCGGGGGCTCTCCCGGCGCTTGGCTGGGGTGGGAGGAGGAGGAGGAGGAGGAGGAGGAGGAGGAGGAGGAGGAGGAGGAGGAGCCCCCGACTGACCCTTTGGAGAAGAGGCTGAGCAGGGTGGGCTGGTTGGGCGGGCGGCCGGAGCTCCGAGTGACCCGGGAACTGGCCGGAGACTCTGCCGGGAACACGGGGAGAGGGATGGACACGGGGATGGACAGGGATGGACGGATGGACAGGGATGGAGAGGGATGGACGGATGGACAGGGATGGAGAGGGATGGAGAGGGATGGAGAGGGATGGACAGGGATGGAGAGGGATGGACAGGGATGGACAGGGATGGACAGGGATGGACAGGGATGGACGGATGGACAGGGATGGACAGGGATGGACAGGGATGGACGGATGGACAGGGATGGACACGGGGATGGACAGGGATGGAGAGGGATGGACACGGGGATGGACAGGGATGGACACGGGGATGGACAGGGATGGACAGGGATGGACAGGGATGGACAGGGGGATGGACAGGGATGGACAGGGATGGACACGGGGATGGACAGGGATGGAGAGGGATAGACGGATGGACAGGGATGGAGAGGGATGGACACGGGGATGGACAGGGATGGACACGGGGATGGACAGGGATGGACGGATGGACAGGGATGGAGAGGGATGGACAGGGATGGACGGATGGACAGGGATGGAGAGGGATGGAGAGGGATGGAGAGGGATGGACAGAGATGGACAGGGATGGAGAGGGATGGAGAGGGATGGACAGAGATGGACAGGGATGGAGAGGGATGGAGAGGGATGGACAGAGATGGACAGGGATGGACAGGGATGGAGAGGGATGGAGAGGGATGGACAGGGATGGACGGATGGACAGGGATGGACAGGGATGGAGAGGGATGGACAGGGATGGAGAGGGATGGACAGGGATGGACACGGGGATGGACAGGGATGGACGGATGGACAGGGATGGACGGATGGACAGGGATGGAGAGGGATGGAGAGGGATGGACAGGGGGATGGACAGGGATGGACAGGGATGGACACGGGGATGGACAGGGATGGAGAGGGATGGAGAGGGATGGACATGGGGAATGGAGAGGGATGGACAGGGATGGAGAGGGATGGACAGGGATGGACAGGGGGGATGGAGAGGGAGGATGAGAGAGGGAGGATGGAAAGGGGGGATGGACAGGGAGGATGGAGAGGGAGGATGGAGAGCAGCCCTTTCCATCCCTGCACCCCACCATCCCACAGGGAGACCGTTCCTGAGGGGATCCCTGCTCTCAATCCCACTGGGAATCATTGGGTACCAGAGCCAGGAGACCCCAAAACCCCTCCCAGGGGGATCCCTGCTCTCCATCCCACCAGGAACTGCTGCACTCCAAGGCCAGGAGACCCCAAAACCCCTCCCAGGGGGATCCCTGCTCTCCATCCCACCAGGAACTGCTGCACTCCAAGGCCAGGAGACCCCAAAACCCTTCCCGAGGGGATTCCCACTCTCCATCCCACCAGGAACTGCTGCACTCCAAGGCCAGGAGACCCCAAAACCCCTCCCAGGGGGATCCCCGCTCTCCATCCCACCAGGAATCGTTGGGCACCGAGGCAAGAAGACCCCGAACCCCTCCCTGAACGGGGACCCCCCCGCCCTCCATCCCACCGGGAACAGACCCCGGGAGAAGCGTCTGGAAAACCCCGTAACCCCCCCTCCCCTCCCTCACTTCTGCTCTCCCCGTTGGATCGGCTCCTCCGGGCCTTCCTCGCCCTGGGGCCGGGGCCCGGCAGGGACGGGGAGGAGGAGGAGGAGGAGGCCACCCCTTCCTCCATGTCCCCGGCCCCGTCCTGCTCCTCGTCGCTGCCCGAGGCGCCGTTGGGGGCGCGGCCGTTGGTGGCCCCGTTGGCCCCGTTGGTGGCCCCGTTGGTGGCCCCGTTGGGCGCCGTGGTGGCCCCGTTGGTGGCCCCGTTGGTGGCCCCGTTGGCCGTTGCCGAGAGCTCCTGGTGCAGCAGAGCCTTCACCTGCGCCAGGTACCGCTCCTGGGGAGGGAGGGGGGGAAAGCTGGGATGACCCCCCCGGAGCCGGGACAGCTGGGAAAGGGTCTGGGGGGAGCCCAGGATGACCCCCCCGGATCCAGGAAAGCCAGGAAAGGGTCCGGGGGGAGCGGGAGCCCAGGATGACCCCTCCAGATCCAGGAAGGCCGGGTGGGGGTCCGGGGGGAGCCCAGGATGACCCCCCCGGATCCAGGACAGCCAGGAAAGGGTCTGGGGGGAGCGGGAGCCCAGGATGACCCCCCCAGATCCAGGAGAGCCAGGAAAGGGTCCGGGGGGAGCCCAGGATGACCCCCCAGATCCAGGACAGCCAGGTGGGGGTTCGGGGGGAGCCCAGGATGACCCCCCCAGATCCAGGAAGGCTGGGTGGGGGTCTGGGGGGCAGCGGGAGCCCAGGATGACCCCCCCGGATCCAGGAGAGCCAGGAAAGGGTCCGGGGTAGCCCAGGCTGACCCCCCCAGCCCCAGGAGCCCACCTCGGACAGCTCCTGGCAGCGCAGCTTGGCCTCCAGCTCCCCGAGCCGCCGCTGCGCCTCCGCCTGCAGGAAACCCTGGATCAGGCTCAGCCGCTCCCGGACGCTCTCCTGGGGGACACGGAGGGGACACGGGGACTGGGGGGGCAATGGGGGGACACCCTGGGGCACGGGGACACCCCCCGGGGGATGGAGGGGACACGGGGACTGGGGGGACAATGGGGGGACACCCTGGGGCACAGGGACACCCCCCGGGGGATGGAGGGGACACGGGGACTGGGGGGACAATGGGGGGACACCCTGGGGCACGGGGACACCCCCCGGGGGATGGAGGGGACAATGGGAATGCCCTGGGGCACGGGGACACCTCCCAGGGGGATGGAGGGGACTGGGGGGACACTGGGGACACACCCTGGGGCACAGGGACACCCCCCGGGGGATGGAGGGGACAATGGGGGGACACCCTGGGACACGGGGACACCTCCCATGGGGATGGAGGGGACACAGGGACACTGGGGACAATAGGGGGACACCCTGGGGCACGGGGACAACCCCCGGGGGACACGGAGGGGACACGGGGACACTGGGGACAAGGGGGGGACACCCTGGGGCACGGGGACACCTCCCATGGGGATGGAGGGGACAATGGGACTGTGGGTACAATGGGGGGACACCCTGGGGCACGGGGACACCTCCCAGGGGATGGAGGGAATGGGGGGGACAGGGACACAGGGGGACACAGGGGACACTGGGGGGACAGTGTGGGGACAGTGTGGGGCACGGGGACACTTCCCTGGGGACAGAGGGGACGGTGTGGGGACACTGGGGGGACAGTGTGGGGCACAGGGACACTTCCCACAGGGATGGAGGGGACACAGGGGACACTGTGGGGACACTGTGGGGACAGTGTGGGGACACTGTGGGGCACGGGGACACTTCCCTGGGGATGGAGGGGACAGTGTGGGGACAGTGTGGGGCACAGGGACACTCCCAGGGGGATGGAGGGGACACAGGGGACACCCTGGGGACACTGTGGGGACAGTGTGGGGACACTGTGGGGCACAGGGACACTCCCAGGGGGATGGAGGGGAAGGTGTGGGGACACTGTGGGGACACTGTGGGGACACTGTGGGGCACGGGGACACTTCCCTGGGGATGGAGGGGACGGTGTGGGGACACTGTGGGGACACTGTGGGGCATGGGGACACTTCCCTGGGGATGTAGAGGACGGTGTGGGGCACAGGGACAGGGGGGACAGGCTGGGGTTGGGAACAGGACACACGGGGGTGTCCCTGGACCCCCAATTCCCCAGGGAAGGGGAGGGTGGGAAGGCCCAGGAATCCCATTCCCAGCACGGGGGTCACGTGTCCCTGCGGAGCATCCCGGGATTCACGGAGACAACCCGGGGGGAGTGACCCCCCCCCCCCCCATCCCCCCAAAACCGGGGCCAAATCCCGGAGATCCCGGGACTCACCTTCTCACTCAGGGTCTCCTCATCCCTCTCCAGGTCCTGCAGCCTGGGGGGACACCGGGGGGTCACCACGAGGGTTTGGGGGGAGGGACAAAGGGACCCCCCAAAATGGCCGGGATGGCTCCGGGGGGGACACACGGATCGGGGTAGGAGGGGGGGATTGTTCCCGAGGGGAATCTGGGAAGGGGGGTCAGTGCCCAAGACACCCCCCAAGGGAGTGGGGGGGGGGTTGGGGCCACCCCCCCCCCCGTGTCCAATCCGGGAAAAGCCACCGGAGAAGCCCCTGGGAAGCCACGTGTGCCCTTCCCAGGGGACAAAGCGGCCGTGGGGGGTGGGGGGAAACCCCCCTTCCCGACCCCATCCCGGCTCCAGAGGGTCCCAATCCCGACCCCATCCTGGCTCTACAGGGGTCTCATTCCCGACCCCATCCCGGCTCCAGGGGGGTCTGTCCCATTCCCAACCCCATCCCAGTCTCTGGGGGTCCCATTCCCGACCCCATCCCGGCTCCAGAGGGTCCCAATCCCGACCCCATCCTGGCTCTACAGGGGTCTGTCCCCTTCCCGACCCCATCCCGGCTCCAGAGGGTCCCAATCCTGACCCCATCCCGGCTCCAGGGGGGTCTGTCCCATTCCCAACCCCATCCTGGTCCCTGGGGGTCCCATTCCCGACCCCATCCCAGCTCTGTTGGGGTCTCATTCCCGACCCCATCCCAGCTCCAGGGATCCCATCCTTGACTCCAGCCTGGCTCTGGGGGTCCCATTTCCAACTCCATCCCAGTTCTGGGGGGTCTGTCCCACCCCTGACCCCCTCCTGGCTCTGGGGTTCCCATCCCTGATCCCATCCCAGCTCCAGGGGGTCCCATCCCTGATCCCATCCCAGTTCCAGGGGTTCCCATCCCTGATCCCATCCCAGTTCCAGGGGGTCCCATCCCTGATCCCATCCCAGCTCCAGAGGGTCCCATCCCTGATCCCATCCCAGCTCCAGGGGGTCCCACCCCTGATCCCATCCCGGCTCCAGGGGGTCCCACCCCTGATCCCATCCCAGCTCCAGGGGGTCATTGCTATCAGAGGCTGTCACTGTCACTGATATCGGGGGGGGGTCACTACTATCGGGGGGGTCATCCTATCCGGGGGTGGTCATTTCCATCCGGGGGGGGGGGTCACTGCTATCGGGGGCTGTCACTGTCCCTGTCCCGGGGGGGGTCGGTACTATCGGGGGCTGTCCCTGTCCCTGTCCCGGGGGGGGTCGGCACTATCGGGGGCTGTCACTGTCACTGATATCGGGGGGTGGTCGGCACTATCGGGGGCTGTCACTGTCCCTGTCCCTGTCCCGGGGCCGGTTGAGGACTCACCGTCGGCGCAGCTCGGCGGGCAGCGGGGCCGGGGGCAGCGGCGCGGCCCGGGCCGGCATCGGGGCGGCGGGACCGGCACCGGGAGCGGGAACGGCACCGGGAACGGTACCGGGAACGGCACCGGGAGCGGCGGGAGCGGCACCGGGAACAGCACCGGGAACGGGAACGGCACCGGGAACGGCACCGGGAGCGGGAACGGCACCGGGAACGGCACCGGGAACGGCACCGGGAGCGGCGGGAGGGCACCGGGAGCGGCACCGGGAACGGCACCGGGAGCGGGAACGGCACCGGGAACGGCACCGGGAACGGCACCGGGAGCGGCGGGAGCGGCACCGGGAGCGGCACCGGGAACGGGTTTGGGGTCGGGGTCAGGACAGGGAGTGGGACCGGGTTTGGGACAGGGATTGGGATCGGGATTGGGATCGGGGCCGGCTTTAGGACCGGGAGCGGGTCTGGGACAGGGATCGGGATCGGGGCCGGATTTGGGATCAGGGCGGGATCGGGACTGGGATCGGGGCCGGGTTTGGGATCGGGGCGGGAGTGGGATCGGGGCCGGGTTTGGGATCAGGGCAGGGATCGGGTCCGGGTTTGGGATCAGGGCAGGGACCGGGACTGGGATCGGGGCCGGGATGGTTGGGATCGGGGCCGGGTTTGGGCTTAGGGGCCGGGACTGGGATCGGGGCCGGGTTTGGGATCGGGGCCGGGTTTGGGATCGGGGCCGGGTTTGGGATCGGGACCGGGGCCGGGTTTGGGATCAGGGCCGGGACTAGGATCGGGGCTGGGTTTGGGATCAGGGCAGGGTTTGGGATCGGGGCCGGGTTTGGGATCAGGGCAGGGATCGGGGCCGGGTTTGGGATCAGGGCAGGGTTTGGGATCGGGATCGGGGCCGGGACCGGGAGCGGCGGCTTCGCGCGGAAACGGGCGGCGGGGGCGGGGCGGCGCCGGGCGGGACCATCGCGCGGGGCGCGCGGGGGGAGCCGGACACCACCATTCCGGGGGGGGCAGAGCGTTCCCCCCGCACCGGGGGCAGCCCGAGGGGGGTCGGGAGGACCGGGGGGGTCCCGGGGGCACCGGGGAGGCCCCGGCGGGGTCCCGGGGGAGGGGTAAGGGGGGTTCCGGGACGGTACCGGGAGGCCTGAGGGGGGTCTGGGACGTACCACTGAGGGGAGACGATGGGGGGGGAACGGCGGGAAGTGCCGCTGAGGGGCGGTTGGAAAGTACCACTGCGGGGAGGGGGGGACAGGCCCTGTCATGGGGTTGTACCACTGCGGGGAGGGGGAGAGGGGCTGTTCCACTATGAGAAGGGGGGGAACGGGCTGTACCACTGTGGGGATGGGGGGGGTGGGCTGTACCACTGGGGCCTTTTCCCGTTTCCCGCGGGATTCCCCGGACCCCCCCAAAATCCGCTCGCAGCCCGGCCATGAGGGGGGTGGGTCCCTGTGCCCATGGTGGGGGTCCCTGTGCCCAATGAGGGTCCCTGTGTCCACTGAGGGTCCCTGTGCCCCATGAGGGTCCCTGTGCCCATGGTGGGGGTCCCTGTGCCCAGTGAGGGTCCCTGTGCCCCGTGGGGGTCCCTGTGCCCCGTGGGGGTCCCTGCGCCCATGGTGGGGGTCCCTGCGCCCATGGTGGGGGTCCCTGTGTCCACTGAGGGTCTGTGTGCCCCGTGGGGGTCCCTATGCCAAATGAGGGTCCCTGTGCCCATGGTGGGGGTCCCTGCGTCCACTGAGGGTCCCTGTGCCCATGGTGGGGGTCCCTGCGTCCACTGAGGGTCCCTGTGCCCATGGTGGGGGTTCCTGTGTCCACTGAGGGTCCCCGTGTCCCGTGGGGGTCCCTGTGACAATGGTGAGGGTCCCTGTGCCCAATGAGGGTCCCTGTGACAATGGTGGGGGTCCCTGTGCCCCGTGGGGGTCCCTGTGCCCAGCGAGGGTCCCTGTGCCCATGGTGGGGGTCTCTGTGTCCATTGAGGGTCCCTGTGCCCCGTGGGGGTCCCTGTGCCCATGGTGGGGGTCCCTGTGTCCACTGAGGGTCCCCGTGTCCCGTGGGGGTCCCTGTGCCCATGGTGCGGGTCCCTGTGCCCATGGTGGGGGTCCCTGTGCCAATGGTGGGGGTCCCTGTGCCCAGTGAGGGTCTCTGTGTCCCGTGGGGGTCCCTGTCACCATAGTGGGGCTCCCCGTGCCCAATGAGGGTCCCATGGTGGGGGTCCCTGTGCCCCGTGGGGGTCCCTGTGCGCCGTGGGGGTCCCTGTGCCCATGGTGGGGGTCCCTGTGTCCCACGAGGGTCCCTGTGCCCCGTGGGGGTCCCAGTGCCCATGGTGGGGGTCCCCAAACCCGGTGCCACCCTTGGTGACCCACGTGGACCGAACCCTCCCCCCCCCCCCGGGTCACGGCGGGGGCAGGAGACGTCTGGACAGCGGGGGGGGGGGGGGGGGGGAAACGAAACCCACCCCCCCATTTCCTCCCCCTGCAGCCCCGGGGGAGGAACCGGGGCCGCTTTGGGGGTTCCAGGGAGGTCGGTACCGGCCCGGGGGGGCGGGGGTGGGCAAAGCCAGGCTGGGGGGGGGGTTTGAGGAGCGGGGAGGGGGCTCGGGGGAGCGGGGAGGGGTCTGGGGCCCCCCCATTTCCCGGCGGGTTCCCCGAAAGGCGGAGGAAGCCGCTGCGGTCGGGGGGGGGGGGGGGGGGGGGGGGGGCCGGGGATGTTTTGGGGGCATTTTCCTGCCGGGAAAATCCGCTCCAAATCTGGGGTCTCCCCCAAAACCCCAGCCCCCCCCCCCTCCCCCTCATCACCCCCTCCCCCCCAGCCAGTTTTGGGGGGGGGGCTCCCGGCCCAGCCCAGCCCAGGAAGGAGCTGGAGGCGGCTGGAAAACCACTGGTTTAATACAAAAAAAAAGGGGGTCCGGGGGGGGGCGGGGGGGGGGCGGGGGGGGCTCCTGGAGAGGCCCGGGGGTGGTCCGGGGATTTTTTTTGGGGGGGGGGGGGGGTGTCCCAGCGGGACCAGCCGTGCTGGGGTGACCCACCCCCCCTCTCCACGCGCCAGCGCGCGGGGCTGGGGGTCCTCGAATGTGCCCCCCCCTCCCCTCCCCTCCCCTCCCCTCCCCTCCCCACCACGGGCGCCCCCGGGCCCCGTTTCTCCCGGGAAAAGCCGCCCCGGCGATTCCCGGCCATTCCCGGCCATTCCCGGCGGGAAGAGCGGTCGGAGCCGCCCACGGGGGATTCGCCACTGGCGCCAGGGGCTGCGGGGAGGGGCCCCGGGACCCGTCCGACAGGTCCCGCGGGGGCCCCGGGGCACGGGCAGGGCGTGGGAAGAGCCCCACGAGCCCCGCGAGGGGCCGGGAACGGCCCCGGGAATGGCACCGGGAATGGCACCGGGAATGGCACCGGGAATGGGGGCACCGGGAATGGGGACCCGGGAACGGCCCCGGGAACGGCACCGGGAATGGCACCGGGAATGGCACCGGGAATGGGGGCACCGGGAATGGGGACCCGGGAATGGGGGCCCCGGGAACGGCCCCGGGAACGGCACCGGGAATGGCACCGGGAATGGCACCGGGAACGGCACCGGGAATGGCACCGGGAACGGCCCCGGGAATGGCACCGGGAATGGCACCGGGAATGGGGGCACCGGGAACGGCCCCGGGAACGGCCCCGGGAACGGGGGCACCGGGAATGCCGGCGGTGGGAGGGAAGGGGGGGGGGGAGATGCCCCCCGGTGGGATGAAGGTGCAGGTGTCCGTCCGTCCATCCGTCCGTACCTGGAGAAGGGGGAAGGTCCCGCTCATTTCGTACCGTGGGACCACCCCGGGGTGGCCTTGGGGGGCCACGGGGGCCACTTGGGGTGGTCGTGGGGCCACTGTGGGGCCACCCTGGGGTGGCCTCGGGGCCAGGGGGAGTCCATGGGGCAGCCCCAGGGATGTGGGGCAGCCATGGGGTGTCCATGGGGTGTCCATGGGGTGGCCTTGGGGCTGCCATGGGGTGTCCATGGGGCAGCCATGGGGTGTCCATGGGGCTGCCATGGGGTGTCCATGGGGCTGCCTCAGAGCACCCATGGGGTCAGGGGGTGGCCTTGGAGCACCCGTAGGGCTGTGGGGCAGCCATGGGGTGGCCATGGGGCAGCCATGGGGTGACTGTGGGGCCACGGGGTGTCCATGGGGTATCCAGGGGGTGTCCATGGAGCACCCATAGGGCCATGGGGTGTCCATGGGGTGTCCATGGGGTGTCCATGGGGTGATCTTGGAGCACCCATAGGGCCATGGGGCATCTATAGTGTATCCATGGGGTGTCCATGGGGCATCCACTGGTTATCCATGGGGTGTCCATGGGGTGTCCATGGGGCATCCATAGGGTATCCATGGGGTGATCTTGGAGCACCCATAGGGCCATGGGGCATCTATAGTGTATCCATGGGGTGTCCATGGGGCATCCACTGGTTATCCATGGGGTGTCCATGGGGTATCCATGGGGTCTCCATGGCGCATCCATAGGGTGTCCATGGGGTGGCCTTGGAGCACCCATAGGGCCATGGGGTGTCCATGGGGTATCCATGGGGTGTCCATGGGGTGTCCACGGCGCATCCATTGGTTATCCATGGGGTGTCCATGGGGTGTCCATGGGGTATCCATGGGGTGTCCATGGCGCATCCATTGGTTATCCATGGGGTGGCCTTGGAGCACCCACAGGGCCATAGGGTGTCCACGAGGCATCCACGGGACATCCATAGGGTATCCGTGGGGTGTCCATGAGACATCCATAGGGTATCCGTGGGGTGTCCACGAGACATCCACAGGGTATCCGTGGGGTGTCCATGAGGCATCCACAGGGTATCCGTGGGGTGTCCACGAGACATCCACAGGGTATCCGCGGGGTGACCTCGCAGCGCCCCCAGGACGCCCCCGGGCGCGTCCCCCCCCCCCCCCCCCGCGACCCCCCCTCAGACGGAGGTGGTGCACTCGCGGGTGAGGGGCGAGGTGGGCAGCTCGCCCTTGGCCGGGGGGCCCCTGTCCAGGGAGCTGGAGGAGCGCAGCGGGACCCCCACGCCCGTCCCCGCCCCGCGGCCGGGGGGCTGCGCCCGGCGGGCCCCGCGGCAGCAGAGCAGGCGCAGGAGCTCGGCGCGCATGTCCTTGCTGCGCAGGGTGTAGATGACGGGGTTGGCGGCCGAGTTGAGCGCGGCGAAGGCGAAGAAGTAGTTGGCCTTGTAGAGGACGCGGCAGGAGCGCACGGGGCACGAGGCGTCCATGAGGAGGATGATGAAGGCGGGCAGCCAGCACACGATGAAGGCGCCCAGCACGATGGTGACGGTCTTGAGCAGCGCCAGGGTCTGCGCCGAGGCGATCTCGGCGTGGCTGGAGCGCACGATGCAGTAGATGCGCGTGTAGAGCCCCACGATGGCCAGCAGGATGAGGGTGAAGATGGTGGTGACGAAGAGCACGTAGCGCTTGGAGTAGAGCGGCAGGACGGTGGAGCAGTCGCGCAGGTCGCTGATGCAGTTCCAGCCCATGATGGGCAGGCTCCCGATGGCGGCGGCGATGACCCAGCAGGCCCCGATGAGCAGCACCATGCGGCAGTTCTTGTCGCTGCTGTACACCTTCACCTTGGTGATGGCCACGTGGCGCTCGATGGCGATGGCCAGCAGGCTGAACACCGAGGCCGCCAGCGTGGCGAAGGCCGTGCCCTCGCGCACGAACCACTGCACCGGCGTCAGGCTGAAGGTGGTGGCCCCCGAGAGCAGGATGTTGGCCATGAAGGCCAGCCCGGCCAGCAGGTCGGAGAAGGCCAGGTTGCCGATGAAGATGTACATGGCCAGGTGCAGGCGCTTGTTGCGGCAGATGGAGACGAGCACCAGCAGGTTCTCCAGCACGATGAAGCAGCACAGGGCCACGATGAGCCCCGACAGCGCCCGGCGCGACGGCGACGACGGGCCCTCGGCGTCCTCCTTGGTGTAGTTGTAGTGCTCCCAGATCTTGTGCCGGTTGAAGTACTCCTTGTAGATGCTCCCCATGGCTCGTCCCGGCCCCGCGCCCCGGCGGAGGCTCAGCGGGACATGGCGCCGGCGAGCCCGGAGACCTGCCGGGGGGGGGGACACGGCATGGGAACGGGGCTGGGGGGGCGGGAACGGGGCTGGGGGGGCTGGGATGGGGTGGGAACGGGGCTGGGGGGGCTGGGATGGGGGGGGAATGGGGCTGGAGGGGTAAAAATGGTGGGACGGGTTGGGAACGCCGGGGCTGGGATGGGGGGTGGGAAGGTGGCTGGGTGGGTGTGGGCTAATTGGGTGGGAGGGGTTGGAGGGAATGGGATGGTGGGATGGGATGGGTGGGAATGGGGCTGGGGGGGGGACTGGGATGCGGGTGGGAATGGGGGACGGAGGGGTGGGAGGTGGGAATGGGTACTGGGCGATGGGTGGGACTGGGCTGGGGGGACTGCCGGGCATTGGGCCGTGCGGCGAACGGGGCTGGAGGGGGTAACAATGGGGTCGGGAATGGGGCTTGGATGGGGTGGGAAGGGAATGGCCCCGACTGGAGGGGGTAAAATGGGGTGGGAATGGGCCTGGGATGGGGTGGGAACGGGGCTGGGGGGACTGGGATGGGGTGGGAATGGTGCTGATATGGGCGTGGGGCGTGGTCTGGGAGGATGGAATGGTGCCGGGGTGGGACTGGCTTGGGCTGGGAGTAGGTGGTTGCTGGGATTGTGGTGGCGAGTGGTGCATGGGGGGTGGGAATGGCACTGGGATGGTGGTGGGCGTGGTGCTTGGATGGGGTGGGAGTGGTGCTGGGGGGTGGGAATGGAGCTGGGACGGGGTGGGAGTGGTGCTGGGATGGGGTGGGAGTGGTGCTGGGGGGACTGGGATGGGGTGGGAGTGGTGCTGGGGGGCCGGGGGGGCACATCTGGGTGCACATCTGGCCCGGGCAGGGGCCACGTGGCCGTGGTGAGTCAGGGAGGAAATCGAGGCAGGGGATGTCCGAGGTGACAAGTGTGGCCTCCACGGGGACACCGTCCCTGAGGTGGCACTGCTGGGGGGGCCCGGGGGGGCATCCCCCAAAAATGGGGGGAAGCCACAGGGGGCTTTCCTGGGGGGGGGGGATGGAAGAGTTGAGGGGGGGGTGGGGACACCCCCAGGGAGGGGGGGGGACATTGGGGACACCCCCAGGGAGGGGGGGGGACCTTGGGGACACCCCCAGGGAGGGGGGGGGACGTTGGGGACACCCCCAGGGAGGGGGGGGGACATTGGGGACACCCCCAGGGAGGGGTGGGGACGTTGGGGACGGCCCGTGGTGCTGGGCCCTGACTGGGGTGGGGTGGGGTGGGGGGACACCCGGGGGTGCCCCCCCTTGGTTGGGGAGGGGGTCCCTGTGTCTGCCCAGTTTGGGATGGGACCCCCAGTACATCCACATCCCCCCTCCCAGTCAGGAATGGGACCCCCAGTACATCCACATCCCCCCTCCCAGTCAGGAATGGGACCCTCAGTACAACCATGTCCCCCCTCCCAGTCAGGAATGGGACCCCCAGTACAACCATGTCCCCCCTCCCAGTCAGGAATGGGACCCCCAGTACAACCATGTCCCCCCTCCCAGTCAGGAATGGGACCCCCAGGAGATCCATTTTCTCCCTCCCAGTTATGGACGAGCCCCCCAGTTCATCCCTGTCCCCTCCACCCCCAGTTCGGGACGGGACCCCCGGGCAGGGCCCCCCCGCGCGGGTCGGGGACCCCCCGAGGGCTCCGGGGGCGGGAGGAGGGGAAGGGGGGGGTGGAAAAGGAGCCCCGGTGCCCGCGGCACCTCCGGCCGCCGCCCCCTCCATCCCGGGGCCCTCCCGGGACCGGAACCGTCCCGATCCCGTCCCGGAGCCCCCCGGGAGCCATCCCGGTCCCGGAGCACCCCCCGGTCCCCTCCCGGAGCCCCCCCGGTCCCTGTCCCATCCCGGAACCCCCCTCAGAGCCGTCCCGGTACCGGAGCCCCCTCGGGCCCATCCCGGTACCGACCCAAAGCTTTCCGGAGCCGTCCCGGTCCCGAAGCACCCCCCGCTCCCGTCCCGGAGCCCCCCCGCTCCCGTCCCGGAGCCCTCCCGGTCCCGAGCCCGTCCCGGAGCCCCCCCGGTCCCGTCCCGGAGCCCTCCCGGTCCCGAGCCCGTCCCGGAGCTCTTCTCGGAGCCCCCCCCGGTCCCGTCCCGCCGCCTCCCGGTCCCGGAGCCCCCCGAGCCCGTCCCGGAGCCCCCCCGGTCCCGGAGCCCCCCCGGTTCCTCGCGCAGCCGCGCCCGGTGCCGGGACCCCGCCCCTCGTTCCCGCCGCCCCGGGACCCTCCGGGACCCCCACGGTTCCCCCCGGGACCCCCCCGGGACCCCCGTACCGGTGCCGGTGGGAGCCGCCGGTCGCGGTCGGGGCCGGCGCGGAGCATCCGCCGCCTTCCCCTTCCCCTTCCCCTTCCCCGCCCGCCCCCGGGCCGGGGCTGCCCCGGGCGGAGCCTCCGCCACGGCAACGGGGGAGGGACGGGCGGGGCCGGCGGGACCCCCGGGAACGGCCCCGGGAGCGGCGGGACCCCCGGGAACGGCCCCGGGAGCGGGAACCGGGAACGGCCCCGGGAGCGGCGGGACCCCCGGGAACGGCCCCGGGAGCGGCGGGACCCCCGGGAACGGCCCCGGGAGCGGGAACCGGGAACGGCCCCGAGGTCCCGGACTGGGAACGGCCCCGGGATCCCAAACTGGGAACAGCCCCGGGAACAGCCCCGGGATCCCAAACTGGGAACAGCCCCGGGAACAGCCCCGGGATCCTGCGCCGGGATCCTGAGCCAGGAACAGCCCCGGGAACAGCCCCAGGATCCCAAACTGGGAAGAGCCGCAGGAACGGCCCCGGGAACGGCCCCGGGATCCTGGACCGGGAACAGTCCCCGCTGGCAACGGCCCCGGGATCCTGGATTGGGAATGGCCTCGGGATCCTGAACCGGGAGCAGCCCGGGGAACAGCCCTGGAATCCCAAACTGGGAACAGCCCTGGAATCCCAAACTGGGAATAGCCCTGGAATCCCAAACTGGGAATGGCCCCAGGATCCTGCGCTGGGATCCTGGACTGGGAATGGCCCCGAGACCGGCCCCCGGATCCCCGACTTGGGAATGGCTCCGGGATCCTGCACTGGGATCCCAAACTGGGAACTGGGTCAGGGGCTTGCACTGGGAGCCGCTCGGGGATCCTAAACTGGGATCCCACGCCGGGATCCTGCCCCCGGGATCCCAAACTGGGATCACGCACCAGGGTCCTGGACTGGGATCCTGCCCCGGGAATCACCCTGGGATCCCAAACTGGGATCCCACGCTGGGATCCTGCCCCAGGAATCACCCTGGGATCCCAAACTGGGATCCCACGCCAGGATCCTGCCCCAGGAATCACCCTGGGATCCCAAACTGGGATCCCACACCGGGATCCTGCCCCGGGGAATCACCCTGGGATCCCAAACTGGGATCCCACGCCGGGATCCTGCCCCGGGGAATCACCCCGGGATCCTCCCCGGGATCATCCCTTGGGATCCTGCCCCGGACCCCTCCCCGGGATCCCCGGATCCTGCAGCTCCCTCCCACCGGGGGGGCCCGATCCCGGAGCCCCCCGCCCTGGGGGAGGGGCCGGGGGGGGGGGGGGCACCCGGGGCCTCTGGATCCCAAAATATCCCGCGCTCCGCCCGGAGCAAATTGGATCAGGGCGGGGCCCGGGCTCGGGGCCGGGTTCAGAGCCGGGCTTAGGGCGGCTTCGGCCGCGGGGGCGGCGGCCAGATGGCGGGGGGGGGTCGGGGAGGGGGGGCCACGGCCGGACACACACGTGGGGACGCGCGTGGGAGCGGGGGGGGGGGACAGCGACACGTGGGGGGCACGGGGAGCGGAGGGACGGGGGGAGGGGCGGGACCCCCCGGCCGGCCCCGGTCACCCCCCCCCCCCGGCCCCGGCACGGGCCCCCCCCGCGAGACTTTGGGGCCCCCCCCCGAGACTTTGGGGACCCCCCCCCGAGACTTTGGGGACCCCCCCCCGAGACTTTGGGGACCCCCCCCAAGCTTTTTGGGGACCCCCCCTGACCTTTTTGGGGTCGCCTGTTGCACCCCCGGGGGGGGTCCCAACGCCCCCGTTGCACCCCCGCAGGGGTCCCAGACCCCCAAAGTGGGGAGGGGGGGGGAACAGGACCCCCCCCCCGTGACCGGTGCCACCCCCCCGGATGGCCGAGACCCCCAAACTGGGGGGGTGGGGGAGGAGCAGAAGCCCCCTCTGTGTCCCCCCCTCCAGCCCCCCCCCGGGTGTCTGAGCCCCCCCAGACCC